AGAATCTTCCAATAATTCTTTCATTTTTACCTAAAATCACGTTTGTATTGCCTTATTGCTGCGAGAAGCATATGATGTATATCTTAAAATTATAATAATTCTCTCGATAGATCTTTTATTTAGACTACATTCCAGAACATTCTTTCCGAGAAAAGTTTTACTCTATACCATACAGTAAATGTTACATGTATTATATATTTTAAGTAAAATTTTCTTTAGAGAGTACATTTTGAAATATATTATTAATATATAAATAAAATGAGAAATTTGAATAAAATATTTGTCGTTTACAATGTAGAGTCAAGACAGTGTTTTTGCTCCAAGATATATTATATTTATTTCAAAGTGATATTATACAGAAATGTATTAAAATTTTTTTAGTAATACATTTCAAAATCACAAAAAGACATTTAAAATACATAATGATATATCGAAAACACATAATATATCGAATATTTAAAAATCTTAAAATTTTTATGTAAATCTTTCTTATAGGATTAAAACACTGAATTAAAGTGAAATATACGAAATATTTAACATTTATATAATATAAATCAAAACAGTTTTTTAACTAAAAATATCTAATATTTTCGAACGACATTATAAAAAAGCATATTAAAATTTGTTCGGAACTGAAAAATGTTTACTTTATTTATGAATCCATTACGCATTAACATTTTCTTTGACCGTAAATAGAATTCTTTCCATTATTTAATTTATTTCTGTTAGTCTAATTTTCATTTATAATTGAGAATGTTGTTAGATGTATATTTTTATATTATTTAGCAGTTGTCATTTTTAAGATAATATTTTACTTGCTAACTAATAACTAATAACTCTTCAGTAAAATAATATCTATCAGATATTATTTTAGTCATCACCTTAAATTTCATGAAATTAGTATCGTTCTGAGAATATAATATCATGTCCGATATACGTTCAAGCATTTTGACTATAGGATACCATGCTACAAAATTTGTTTCATGCGATAAGTATCTTGTGAGTTTCGAAAAGATGGATATGTTAAGCTGATGCGTCATTAAAAAATGACACGCGTCATCAATAAGTTTGACACAATTAATGACACTTATGTTTTTATATCCTCCAGATTTTAAGTAATATCCAATTCTGCGCCAGTTTTTTGACTCATAATTGATACGGTAGTATGCTGTTATGTAACAAAAAGGTTTTATTCATGATTATTTTTTCGTAATCAAATAGGGAATAATACGTTTGCATTTTTTCATTTTCTTTCTTTCTATTAGAAAAATATGTTTAAGTTTTTATAAAAGTATGTAAATATATTAAAAATGATCACACTTTAAGTATGGGCATGTCTACAGTTATACATATTCTCACTTACATAAAAAGTAAACACTATGTATAATACGTATATTTTATTTTCTACAAAAACTTTCTGAAAATATAAGAATATTGTGTAATATTTTATAGTTTCGTATAAATTTTAAATTTTCGACATTCAAAATTAGTATTCAAGCTATATATGAAAAATAAGAGATTTGTGCTCTGTTTATTAAAAATATATTAACAAAACAACATAAATTATTTTTTATTAAGCTTTTTCGGATATTATTTATGTTTTTTATACTACCTACATTTATGTGTTTGCGACATTCCCAATAGAACAATTCGTTGGCGAGGCATTGGTTAAACATTGCCACCCATCAAGGATATGTATATCAGACATTAGACCAATATTGTGCCAATAAATTGTGCTACTAGAGATTTTTGATATTTATGTAAATAAAAATATATAAGACTTGCACACACACACACACACACACACACACATACACAATATAAAAATGATTAAACATGTAGCAAAGAGTATATATTAAATTTTGCATAAGAGTAATAAATATAATTTACCAGCATGCTGAATGTCGAACATTACTGCGTCATTATTAGGAATACCTTTGAAATATTTATACTGTACTTGTGGTGTTAACCATACTTTAATGACTTTAGGTAAAGTAGTATTTCTCATTATTCTTATCGGTATCCACCATCCACTATTACTTGAATTGGAATTATATGTCAACACTGACCATAACAAGTTTTTTTGTTTCCAACTTACGACAGGGTATTGATCAAAATTTATCCAAGATATGAAATTACATGAATATTCTTTTGTTAAATCTCGTAATATGGACCAGAATTCAGAGACACTCGTTGAATTAAATGTGCTAAATAAAAAATTCGTTGTTATTGGCACAAAATAAGTGACATTGTCGATCGAATATAATTCTAGAGTTATATATTATACTACACTATGTATATAGGTATACGTATAATGTGCGTCAATAAAATGAAGAATAAAAAATGGAAAGTTGAATATAAAAAAATATACGAAAGTATAATGTAACTGAAGCAGTTAAAAAATTTTTAAGAATCGCTTTGCTTTGTCCGTAATTTATAAAATAAGAAGTGGCAGAAGTGTAATTACTATATTATTTTATCGTATTATATATAATATTTATTACATTAATTATATTTGTATTTAATATATAATATACTAATAATAATTATATTATATTGTTGTATTGCTCACAGTTTGTGTAGATATGTGCGTAAGCCGTTTCGAAACACAACATCGGTAATTAGATCTCGGTACATCCGTAGAAAAATAAGTACTATTTGAGAAAATATATGTAAATTAAATTTTATTAAACATATTTTTTTACACAAACAGAAAGATAGAAACATTTATTTAATTATTCTTCTAAAATGTACCTTTATAACGGGGAAAATTAAAAATTGATTCAATATTTGACACTGTATTAAATAGTGGAAATCTATCGAAATAAGAATCGAAATAAAGACCTTCATTTTGACTCTGAACTACAAACAAATCTATCAGCTGAGAATTATTCAGAATCTAAAAAAAAAACACGAATTTTACACTTATAAATATTAGATAAAAAATTATTTTATTTTTCTGACTGATATATTATTAAATAAGTTAAACTATTTTTTAAAGCGGTTTAAAAATAATAAGTCTATATTAAAACAAGTTGCTATACGTATATCTTGTACATAATAAGAGGTTTGAAGAGCAAACTTTTAAAATGCATTTTGCCCAAAATTTGCAATTTTTAGAAAACAAAAAAGCAGAAACTACACATACAACAAAACCGTGCACTTTACAGAAAATAACAATATGTCACTCAATAGAATGTGACGTGTTAAACAAAATTGCTGTAAACAATTGCTAAAAATACTAAACAAATGTACTTTGCGTTTCTCTAATTAAAAAACATAATGTACACTTCAAAATGTCTATATTTTTTCAGTATATAAATTGACAATAAAAAAATATTTTCTAAACATCTCAGAGTTACTTATAATATAAGATAAGCTACTATTTGTCTTACATCGATAAGACACGGTAATTCTTAACTCTAAAATTAGTTTGCAATTTTAACAACTGTGGAACAATTGTTAATCAGTATTTTTTTTATTATACTTCCTTCGGTATATACAATATGCATGTTGGCGGTCGCATGTTTTTAAGATTGACAATCTACTACCATCAGCCATGTAACTGTTGGATATAACATTTAAAGATTTCATATCTCATAACGTTGCTACCACGAATGCATACTGGACTATGATTTGCGATTCATAATTCAACATTATATGCTGTAAAGTAAAGTATTTCTGAAAATGACTCAAATTTAAGCAGAAACGTACATTCATATATTATTGACTGAATTTATATATTAACTTACTTCGCAATATTTGTTCCAGCGCTAACTTTTAATAGTTTCGTTAAACGTAGTTATTGTGCATAGTCTTATTATAATATGAGTCCTTAAACAATAAACATTACGCCATTTCTAATTAAAAAAATGAAATTTCGGACAAAACGCATTTTGAAAGTCTGCTCCGCATTTATTAAAATTAGTTGAGAGGACTTTTTAATGTTGTATTTATTCCATGTTATTCTATGTATATTAAGAAATTATATGATTATATATATATATTATATATGTATAATAATTTCCAAAAGATTCGAAATTTTTTTTCCATTTTAGTAGTTTTAAATGATAAAAAGTGGAGCTAATATAGATTAATAAATTATAAATAAATACCAAATTTAAAATTTGTGAATCATGTTTAAAGATCATGCTTTTAAGTCTGATACAATATAAAGTACAAATCACATTTGAACGCGCAAATTTTAGGTGATAGGATTCTAATTATAAACTTTAAACGTTTATTATTAGAAATAGAACGAATATGCAGGACTCTTAGTATTAAAAAATTGTCAATGAAATAAAAATGCAATTAAGAGTCAAAATTAGAAGTGTGATCTAATAAACCATTTAATATTATATTATAAATTAAAATAAACTAAATATTCACACTATAAATACGCACGCAATCAAATTAATATATGACAAATTAAGTCATATTTTAATTTGTTTGCGTGCGTATTTATAGCGTGAATTTTTAGTTTATTTTAATTTATAATATAATATTAAATAGTTTATTAGATCACACTTATAATTTTGACTCTTAATTGCCTTGTTATTTCATTGACAAGTTTATTATTAGAAAATTATTATAACCTCAACATTTGGTATTAGGATTTTTGTCTCAAAATAATCTCAGGAATCTACCTTTAAGTATTGTTACGATTTTTATTGGACATCTTATAAAGATACTAAAATTATCATTTATTATTTCATTACTTTTGTCACAATTTTTATATGTCAATTTTATTATTGAAAATATGTTTTTTTTTTCAAAAGTAAAACCATTCATTTGTCTTTTTAAATAAAAATTTATAAAATATTAATAAATATTTTTTGATTCTCTATACTTATATAATTTCTCGATTTTATGTAGTTTACTAAACTGTTTTCTATAAATTATAAATTATATAAATTTTCTAAAAGTATGAAACATAACATTGATAATTTCATCTTACGAATTAGATAAATTATTATTATTCACACATATGATATTAGCAATTAAACAACCTTAGCAACAATTTCGTCACCGAATAATGTAGCGAGACCGTCATGCAACCAATAATTGGACCAAAATGGACCAAGTGTATCTCCAAACCATTGATGTGCTGTTTTACGTGTTATGCTGCGTGCGATTTCTATTCTGTTCATTATGTGTCCTAACTCCTCATGATAAATAAGTTCTCTTTCCCTAAAAGATTTTTACATGTAAAATTTTAATGATTTAAATCTGATATGTATATATATAATATAATGTAATTTGTTTTACACAAGCTAATTTTTTCTTACTTTGTGTACGAAATATTACAATATAAATGTTATATTGTATTATCACGCATATACTTTATTACGGCGCGGCGCGAGACGCTATACAGTATCTCTTGTAATTATACTATATAAATTATATATATATTATAATATATTATTTTGAAATATAACAAAGAATATGTTATACAATTTCAAAAATTTAAATATTTTTATTAAAATAAGTTAGAAAAAAATTGTTTGGATCTTTATTTCATGTTTTACTATAATATAATATATTAAATACATGTAATTGATTATTCTAAATTTATGGATTTAAAACAATATCTAATAAATATATCAATGTTATTATTTTGTTATTTAAGAGATTATTTTATAAGTAGAAATATGTATTACGAATGAAAGACGAATCCTAATTTCGTTGTGATGTTGTACGAAAAATGTGGAATTACAATATGGTCTATCTTTGGAATCTTGATTCCTCCAAATTCATATTCCAAATGAAATGAGATATTTTTCATAACTTGTTGCGCGTAGAACAGAGATTTTGTTTGAGAAAACGACTTCCTGTACCACAAAATAATATAGTTGTTAATGTTTACATGAAAAAAATTACACAAAATGATCGAAACTTGAGAAGTAGAGATTGCAGGAGTGGTATAAAAGTGTGCCCACTTGAAATTATGTTCAATATCATCGCTATCTAGCATTCGCAATGGCATGTTGGTTAAGGCAAAGAAATTTGCAGGATGTTTTACAGAAATAGTAAACGTTGTCTTTAGGTGTCGCTCATCCCAACAGGGAAACAATTGTCTAGTTCCAGTCTCTTGGATGTGTGGAAGGATTACCCATCTATAGTATAATTTAATAAATTATAATTACTTTTAGATAAAATGGTATAATAATAATTGCATAATAATAAATTTTTAATTATATACTATGATTTAAATATATGTGATATTAAAAAAAATTGATATAAGGTTACATACATATAAATGGAGCATTCGGATAATATATATACTAATTGTACATATTTAATTAATGATTTTATATAACGTAGCATTGAATATATAAATTTTTACCATAGAAATGGCTTCTGATGAACAATACGGAACAATTACATTATAGACAATATATATTATACAACTATATGCATTCTCAACGTGTTTACTCACACTGTATCTTCATCTTCGTTCATGTAGGAAGTTCTGATTAAACTATTTTTGTTTTTATCTGAAATATAATCTACTATTTCTATATTTAAGGTATAAATTCCGGGAGTTACGAGTTCGAAGAATTCAATGTCTAAAATGTTCGTTTCAGGAGTATAGAAATATTTCATTGGTCTATGAGTTACACCATTTCTTCCTACTAATTTTGTCCTGCGAGTATACATAAATTGTAGCATATCATTCATTGATATACGAATTGTCTTGCCTATTTTTATTCTATCTTTTTCTTCCTTTTCCTCTTGTTCAAGTACAAAATTTTTGAGCCAATCATTTAGAAAATTATTTAATACGTGTAATTGTATCTTATGGATTGAACGTAGGACATGGATCATTGTTTTAAATTTTCCGAATTGTCCAAACCTGCCTTCTTCAATTCTTGGTATTATATGCTCATTACTTGTTGCCTTCATGGTTTTATTGCTATCATATTTTTCGATACGTAAAGTTAGTTTTATATCATAGTGCAACGGTTCCACATAATATGCTATAGAAGGTTGAAAATCATTTAGAAGACTCAAATTATTTAGCACGCCTATAGCATTATCATCTTCTGGATTATAGGAATAGGTATCCTGTAGATATTTATACGTAATATCAGTAGTTATGTAAGTGAATAATATAGTGGTATTCAACAGCGTAGGTAGCCAAAAGTTTCTTGGTACGTATGTCGGCCTTTCCATTATATTGCATCAATTTTTGTACCAAATACCTACTAAAACGTTTTTATTTTAATAAAAATAGAAATATATAAATTAACAAATATAGAATATTGTTGACGACAGCATGTTGCTATTCTATGGTTAGAAATTATTGGAAAATTTATACACAAAGACTGTTACATTGAAAATTCGTAAATTTAAATTTATCGAGTAACATTAGTTATAATCGAATAACATTTAGATGTAGTACCTACTAACTACATCAAATATTTATATAATATATTTTAAACTTTACTAATATTTTTAGCATTGTGATAATTATATTAATTACATTAATTTCAAGTTATAACAAAAAGCTTATTCTTTTTATCTTGAATTTTATACAATATCAGAATAAACATTTTTAGATGACATTATCTGCACAATTTTAATAAATTAAATTCGTATTTATATATTTATATTTTTTAAAAAGTTTATTTTTCGAACGAATACATACACATATATAAAATATTATAATAATAAATCAAAATGGATTAATATTGTATGTAAATAACACAACACAATAAATGTAAGCAAAAAAATCTTATTCGGTCAAAGCAAATTACATAATGACTAATAATAAAACTAAATAAATTAAAATAGTGTAACGGGCAACGAGCCAAATAGAAACAATATCATTAAATGAAACAAAGACAATATATTAAACGAACAACAAACAAATAAAGCAAACGTTTCGACACCGCGCGCGATCGGGTCATTATCAATGTTAACAAAATTTAGATTTAAATAACGGAATTATTCTGCAAAAGATTTTTATATATTATATTATAAATCCGGATGCTTGAAATAGAAGTCAATCATAATCGTTCGGTAAAATTTTTTTGGTTCTTCATTATGTAAAATGCATTTGTCAGTCAAGAGTAGCAATCAATATTATTTAAAATGTACCGCAGTGTAACGATAAAAATTAATATTAAACTGGCCGTAGATATGTATATAATTTTGTATATATATTTTAAACTCTCTTCAAATAATATAAATTATCATCACAAGGAATAATAATTAAAATAAAAATAAATTACCTAGTACATAAAAGGAACACTGTAAGTCTCAGTTGGAGCAAATTGCAAATTGAAAAATAAAATGTTGATAATATCAAGTACCGTAACGCAATGTTGACAAGGAAAAAGGAAACCGAAAATGAGGTATAAATGGAAGGGGAATGTAGGACGCCTAGAAAGGGGAAAGAGACCGTATTATATTGGAATATGACTCTGGAAGAGAATCCGTATCATTTATTTGTCTATTAATTGAATGCTTTTGATTAATTGAATCTCTTAATATGTACCATTTCCGAAATCGGTCTTTTATTACAGAATTGTTCAATATCCAAAATTTTTACGTTCTCTCTATCAAAATTATGGTTCTTTTCAATATGGTGGTTTGAGATGGCAGAAGGAGAATTTACTTTTTTATTGATGTCGGAAACGTGATCATGTACTCGTGTTTTTAATTGCCTTTTGGTTTTGCCAACATATCTGACATCACAATCCTCACATGAAAACTAATAGACCACGTTTTGATTATTTGATGGTTTTAGTTGGTCCTTTCCTTGTTTTATTAATTTATTTAAAATATTAGGGATTGTGTAGGCCATTTTACAATTAAAAATATTTACTAACGGTGCAAATTTTTCTGAAATAGAATTATTAGGAGTATAAATAAGTTTCCGCCGTTTGACAAAAGATGGCGCCACCAGTATGTTATGGTTAAAATTGTCTGCTGTAAAACGTCATATCGTAAGGTTGGATATCTGGCAACAACATAATATGAAATATTAGCGATTTTGCATCAGCGTCATATATATCTTTTTTCGTGTGAAAATGTCGACTTTTGAACCGAATAAGCGTCATTTCCGGGAGCTTTTGATTTACTTCTTTAATTTGAAGAAATCTGCAGTTGAGGCGCATCGATTTGCTTGTAGAAGCCATATATGGTGAGGCTGTCTTAAGTGAGAGAAGTTGCCGTGAGTGGTTTCAAAAGTTTAAGAACGGTGAATTTGACGTCGAAGACAGAAAACGTAGTTTCGACGAAAATATTGGCTTCGAATAATTTAATAAACACTTCTGAGATTTCCGTTGTAGAACATGATAAAACCGATTCCATTCTATCTTCCATATTCAGATTTTTTATTTTTTCTCAAATTTCCTCACCCTCCAATGTATAATCCAAAACCATTTATCCCCACCCTCCTACGATTGTTCGATTACCTCTCTTTGTCATATTTATTGAAAAAAAAAATGTATCCTTTCACTATTTCCGATCTATTTAAAATATCTGCTCCAACCACTCAATTTCACTCTGTATATTAAAATCTCCGTATCATTAATCAAAAATCTTAATAAAAAAAGTGTATACATTTCTTAATTGATATTTCAACATAAAAAATTTTTTAATAGGAATCATAGACATAGTATCTCTAGACCGAGCATTGTTAGAAATTTGAGAGAGAAAGAGAGAGAGAGAGAGAGAGAGAGAGAGAGAGAGAGAGAGAGAGAGAGAAAGAGAGAGTGCATGCGTGCGTGCGTGCGTATGTTTGAGACGATAATTCACATATAGAAAAAGACGCACTCATTTGGCCCATAACGTTCTCTCTCACTTTGCGCGTCTATTCTGAGAGAATGACTCGAAAGAGGAAATGAAGAATTTTAATTTAGGTTTTGAGGTTTCGGCAGTTGATGTTTGTCGGCTTATATGATTAAAATTGAATTTAGTAAAAACTAATAAGATAGAGAAAAACAGAAATATATTTTTACACATATAATAATATTATATGTTTATCTAAAAATATATTTCTAGCAGTCTAAAGATACTATGATTTATGTCTATATGGTAGGAATGTTTCCATGATAAACAGCAACACTTTTTTGTTATACTTGCTTAAAAAAATGAATAATTATATCCTTCCTTGATAGTAATGTAATATAAATTTTTCTAATAAAATAGGTGTTTTTTATATAACAAATAATAAATAAATTTTTAACGAATTATTAGGCATAGATTAATTTATTATCGATTTTCTATGTCTTATTATCAAATTCCTGAAATAGTTTTATTACACGACTGTATACTAAAGTATTAACATCTATGGCTATTATAAAATCCAAATGAGTAAATGATTTTTGTTCCTCCAGTAGGACAACATTTGGCAGACGCTTATATAACTCGAAGATAGTCTAGGAACAAAAATATGAAAGATGATACAATTAATAATAGTAATTTAAGGAAATAAGCAATTATTTCTTAATAATTATTTTCATATATGTAAATACAACGAGCTGAAGAAACAAAGTTTTTTCAAAAACTCAATATGTATGTATAATTTGCATATTTTATAAAATTTTGTTTCTTTTTTCTCTTTTTACATCTTAATCAAAAGATATTTTTATAAAAAAATTAAAATGATCTTACCGATTTTAAAACAAGCAAATCATTACCGCCGTAAAATATAGCCACGGGCGCAGTAATTTTGTCAAGGTCGTACGTTATGGGTGTGGCCTGTTTATATTGCTTATAATTGCCAATATATCCATAGTCGTAGGATTGAAACTTCTCTGTAGAAATGAGTATTAATTATTTATATATAAACTTGAATTAAAATAAAAAATATTGACAAATCTCTTGAGTTGGTATTTTATGTTTATCTAAGTTTTACTAATTGTAAGATAAATATAAAATGAAATATCACACACGCACGCACACTCGTGTGCTTACTACATTAGAACCAATATACAGGATAAAGCATTTAAAACAGGTCACCTGATTCGCAAAACATTCACTTCGATATGTGCGATTCAATGTATTTACATACCGTGATACACTTGAACGATTAGCGGTATATCAACAAGAGAAGACACAAAATTATTCGAAGTATGCCTTAAAATAATTTATTTTTCAATTATTCAATTATTTTCCATTGACCTTGCGTAACTTTGAATGACCTTCAATTATAGGTCACTGTATTCGTCTTAAAATGCTCTATCAGAATGTAAAAACGTATTCCATTAAAAAAAAACAGATTTAAAACCTTTGCCTATCCTTTACGCCTCCATCTACAAAACAATTATTGACATCACATTATGTGTGTCCCTCGAAACCAAGCAACTTTTGTTTAATACTTTTCCTTCTATTGTAAAAAAACAAGCGAGTTATTCAAGTGACCTGTTTTAAATGCTTCACCCTGTATATATTTAATAAAGATAATATAAAAAACAATAATATAAAAATATAATTAATACTATTAAAAAACATTTTAGATACGCATAACGCACATTTCTCTTTTTTTTATTGTGTAATTAATATAATAGTTTATAATTTATATTATGATATGTTTACATTTGAAAGAAAAACTAATATACTCACTTGTAATAATATTTTGCTTATAATGAAGTATTGTTTGCACCGAAGAGCCAGCTGGATAATATGATAATATTTCCGGCATTGCCGTCTGCAATGAATGACTTTATTAGAAACGATTTTCATTGTTGTATATTAAAATATATGCTGTATTTAAAACTTAGAAACTTTATTTTTTTTATTCTTAATAATTTTGTAATTTTTGTAATTTTAGTCTTTAATAAATATAAAAGCAGTTTTACAATTAGTAAAATTGTGCTAAATTAAACATGTGTAATGTACCGTATTTAATTGCGCTGGATTAGCTCCAGACATCAGAAACATTAATGCAACGCAGATAGCCTGAGTAATTGTGTTATCTGCACACAGTGTTCTTCCTATCATAATGCTTGTTGATGTTAAAGCGAATACTTCATATATTTCATTGGAATTTAAGATTTCCTAATAAACAATATAAACATAAATATATAAAATGTAAACGCAACAGAATTGCAATAAAGACAATACAAGGTATGATACGTAGAATGTAATATACAGAGAATAACAGAGGGAGAACTATCTGAAACTATTGTCCACAGATTACATAATTTCATTTGATTTTATATAATTTTGTTTGATGAAAAATAATTTTCCTCACTATGTATGCAGTCATCATTTGGTAAAATAAACTATTTTATCTAATATTACACAATTATTTCTTGTAGTTGCATATATAATTATCGGATCATATATCGGAATTTCATATAAATTTTATAATGATTACATTAAGTGATTACTCCCTCGAAGAATAAAATCTTAAAATAATTATATATCAAAAAGAAACCGTATTAGACCTATAAAAATTTTTTGTACATTTTAATAATTGTGACTCTCTATATCATCATTTTATCATTATAATCATACACATTATAGGAGAATATATCAATAAAAAAAACCGGATTAAATCTTGACCGGATAAAAATTTGAATGTTTATCTAATTTTATTTCTAATATTGCGCAGTATTTAATAAGCTGATATCACGTTTTTAAATATTAATTTATTGTTAATTGATTAATTTAATTTGTTATTATTAATTTATTAATTTAATGCTTATTTTTTAAAAATAACATTTTACTCTCAATGAATTTACTTATTATTTATTACAGTTTGTATAAAATTTTATTAGTTATAAATATTAGTAATAAATATAATAATTAAACGATGTTGCTAATAAAAATTTTCTTATTAAACATAATAATGCATGGTTAATGCAGTATTTATATACATATACACTATAAAATAAATCTTTATTTCTGTTAAAATATTTTGGTATATTATCTTACCTCAAAGTTTTTAATATTGTGTAACATATTAGTAACATACTGTACAGTAGGAGATGCTTCATTCCAAAAGGCGACTGGTGCAAGACAGACTGCCAATTTTATTTTTGCATTGTATTCGGGTTTTATAGATAAAAAAGTAAATAATACAGTATTTCCCATAGAAATACCGACGTAATACAAATTTTTTTGTTTTGTATAACCAAGTACGTAATCAATCATAGCCGGTAGATCTATCATTCCTATCTCGTGAAAACTAGACAATAAAAATAAATTCTATTTTCTCTTTTACTATTTGTGTTATGCTGAAATACTATTAGGTACTTGCTATAAGTTTTTTAACTCAATTGCAATTTGAATAAATACACAGTATTTCGAGTTTTTATATCTTTTTACTAAGGAAAAATCGATTTTAACTAGAAATCGATAGCAGAAACCTAGCGCATAAATAAAATAAAATTAAAAATATAAAAAGAAAAACATATATATGTAACTAAAAATAATGAAAATAACGAAAAGAAGTTGAAATTAACAAAAATATTTCTTTAAAATGTAATAGTATAGTATTTATAAAATAAATTTTTACCTAAATTGCCAAAACTTTTTATTTCGTGGAGATAATTTTACATGTGATCTACAATAAGAACTTCCTCTGACATTTCCAAGCCATACATCATATCCTTTATCAGCTAATAAAAATGCTATAACATAAGATAATTAATGATGTATAATTAATTCCTTTATTATATTACCAAATTAATTATTAGTAGTAATAAATTATGATAAAGGTATAGTTATTTTCATCTTTATTAATATATTTATATTTTGAAAACGTCTTATTAAATTTTTTTTATTTATTATAATGAATTTATTATTTGTGACTTTGCCCTGATCTTGACAACGCCACTCAAAGTCCAACTAATGGTACTATGTTTCCTTTGAAGTTATAAAACTTTTATTTTTTCCGTACTTTTTATATGTATATACTTTTCGAGACATTTATATGTAAAAGTTCAAGTAATGAACCTATATATGTACAAGGTATAATTTTCACTTTTTTTCCTACACTTAAAAATATTTTGATAGTAAAAGTTTTAACAGCAACAATGAAGTTAGAGTTGAAGTGAAATCGTAGTTTCAATCCAAAAGAATATTTTTTTACACCACTGTACGGTATCAAAAAACTGATGTCACTTTATGGTAAGTGATTAAATATCAATGGTAACTACGTTGAAAAGTACGAAAGTCGTTTGAATTAAGCCTAACATAGAAAGTAGAAACAAGTATTTTTTCGATCAAATTCAATTTTATTTTTCAACATATGCTCCTATCTCTTTAACTCATTCAAATAATAGTTGGCGTCTTGCTCTGCAAAATAGGCTTTTATATATACGGATGCGATAACCTGCTCATTCGATGTGAAAATCTCTGTTCTCCGAACCGCAAACTTTAAATCTAGAAAACAAAAAAAAAAGCTGCCCAAATCTGGTGAATACGGTGTATGATTAATCAATTCGAACTACAATTCGTGAATTTTTGCTATGGCGACTGTCGATGTGTGACAGTGCGTTATTTTGATGGAATAGAACTTTTTTCGTCTTCAAATATGACCGTTTTTTCGCAATTTCTGCTTTCAGCTTGTCAATTAATGGTGCGTAATACACCCCGTTATTATTTCAAGAGACACGGTAGTGTCTCGCGCCAAGTGAACGCGAAGCGAGACCAACCGTATATTTATGTGAGTCGGTAAGTTCCGAGCAACTGAGATCATCAAATCTCACAATAAACGACTGAATTAATCGATTTCTCAATATTCTATATAAGAAAATATATTCCTTTCATAAATGGCGCAATTTAAAGATTTTATTTCATTTTTTTGTATACTGTAATAATGTATAGTATGTAACGGTTTTTTGTGAGGCGAACACACTTGGCTCCTTTTTTCCTTTTCTTAAAAAAGGTAATTTTGTTGATCACCTTTTTCAAGAAAACCGATGAACAAAATTCCATAAATACCCCAAAAAACAGTCGTCATCGCCTTCCTGGCCAATAAAACCATTTTCGCTTTCTTCGGAACAGGTTCACCTTTTGCAATTGGTTCCTGTTTTGACTATTTTTTCATCTCAGAAGTAGTGGGTTCAAGTTTCGTCAACAGTTATTAATCGACGCAAAAAATCCGACTCGTTTCGTTTAAACTGCTCCAATAAAGTCTTGGAAATATTCATTCGAATGCGTTTTTGGTCCACAGTGCAGCACTCAATGCACAGTTAGTTTACGCATGCTTAATTTTTCACTTAATATATGACAATGATAAATGTCTACAATTTTCACAAGTATCTTTCAAAGCACGTACGATTGTAGTACCAAAATGATTTTTACGAGTGATGCCATTTTAATGTTGAGGCTTAAAGTTTTTCAAACCCTCGTAACTTAAGGTTCAATAGAATAAAAAAATTTTATGATTGTCTTATCTTTTATTTCATTATTCTATGATAGGAAAATTTATTTTTGGATGTTCCTCGTAATAACTAATACATCATGTATAAATGTATTGACAATCACTCACCAAGATCTTTACCAGCACCTATCAACACCCAACAATCCGATGTACCAAAGAGACCAGTTTGAAGAAATACAACTTTTCCTGTCCGTTGACCTTTAAAAAAAGGACTTCCTGATATTCTATGTATTATCAAATTATAACCATCTTTCGTTGTAACGTAATGTTCCTCGGCGGAGTAACCATATTTCTCTACCAAACCAAACTGTATAAACATATAGAATGTTAAAAAAGGGGATACAAAATTTTTCAATAATCTGATTCAATAATATTTTACACGTAACATTTTTTTACGTAAATTAACAAAAAGACGTTTTTTTATGCAAAAAAGGCGACATTTTAAAATTGTATGCAATTAATTTGCATTTCCAAAACAAAAGTTATTTCAATCTGTTATAAAATTAATTTCTTAACTAATTAATTTTTTATCGACATTAGTTGAACTTTTTAATTTAGTTTTGTGAGTATTATCAATCTTATAATAATTTCAAAATCTTTTTTGAAGCATTTCTGTAATACAGAATTGAGGCATTTCTTATTTCATAGATAATAATATTGTTTTAATCAATATATCTTTGTTTGAACAAAGCACATCGATAACTGAATTGTTACTAGTTATATAATCATCAATATATACCAAAATATTAAAAAAAAATAAGGTTTTGTTTTTTTTTTGCATAAATAATTATCTTTCTAATTACGCTATTATTTTCCCAAGTATATTTTTAACAGAACGAAATATTAAAAACAAACTCGCACTTACAAAATCCAGTGTAGTTACATTATTCATTGTTGTTTTGATATCTTCTGGTTTCCTTACTCTCACTATATGGGGATCCTTAGGAAACATGAAGTTAAATAGTACTTTCTGTATGGATATCGACTGTCCATGGACATTTAGTTTTGATTCCAGCAGCACTACAGTAAGCATAAATACGAAGGAAGCAAATTTCATGTTCATTGTCATTATTACTCTCGACATCCGTGATTGTAAACTACGACTTGTAAGTATTGACAATATTATTTAATATAAGTTTTGGTATCTGTCTTCGTCTTCAAGAAACCTATAAATGCCATTGGTATTAGCTCTTATCTTTTTTTTCGATGTTTTTTAAAATGTAAATATTAAAGAAATTTATTAAACTTTAAATTGTTTTAATTTTTTACATCACAAGAACTTGATACAATAATTAAATAATAAATTTATTAAAATTTGTAAGGTCCATAAAGTTTGTGTAAAAAGTTCTAAAATTTTGTATGTGTGTTATTTATTTAACTGAATAAAGTTTACTTTGTAAAAAGTAAAGTGAAACTTTAATCGATTATTATTAAATTAAATTAATAAAATCATTTAAAAAAAAGACATATTTTACTTATCGATTATTGACTAAAGTCAATCTACTCGATTAGTCAAAGTCAAATTAATTTTTAGAATTAATAATTTCTCAAAATTAATTCTCTTTAAATAATTTTTAATTCTCTTTGTACAAATTATTTTATGACTTTTTAATTCTTATAAGTATTCCAAATAGTTTATTTTTATATCAATCCTACAAATTTTATTTTTATATATCTACATATACATATATGTACATATATCCTGAAACGCAGTTTCACAACGATAATTGGATATTACGTTACGCATACAAAATCTCAAGACCATATTCAATTTCACAATATTTCACTGACATATTCAACCAATGTTTAAACAATCAACTTTCATTGAAGAAGACCGCCCAAACTTCTAATAATCATCACCAAATAGTCATCAGTTATACATCAAATAAATTTCGTCCATTTAATTAGTATTTCCACGTTCATTGTTGCTCCTGACAAATAATTTATTTATTCAGCAATATCCGATCTTTTGTATTTGTTAGTATATATATTTAACACTTTGCACTTCGCGCATATATATATATATATATATATACACAGTTACACCATCTGACTGTAACAAACTGTGACTACGAACTGATCGGCACATTTTTTAAAGACGGCTTGAGACATGGCTAATGTATGGTATGTACATACGTACATACATACACATTACATACATACATACATACATACATACATACATAACTATACGCACAAATATTGGTCGCTAAATATTGATCTACATTCATGTAGATTGCATGTCATATGCAATGTGTGTATGTAATATTTGCTAATATTGGCGTATATTGGCCATGAATTCAAGCCACTTTTACTGTAAAGACACGTTGTGTTTAATTACTATTTACGTTGTGCTCTTTGATAATGTATGTGGAATTGTTTTTACGATGCCAAGTACAATTTTGTTATATTTTTATCTATAACAATTGCATGCAATAACAGGTGTGCTACATATACGTCGATAAGACTAATACTTTTCTTTTATGGAACGAATCTTCGTGCCGTCGATAAATTGCTAAGTATTAATCCTTTGTTGTTTAATATATAAAAATGCAAACTACATTAGAAATAACAATTATATAGTTTTATATAATGAAATTTTAGCTTCAGCAAATCTACTCATCGATTAAAGTCGCTTTATATCTTGTATATAGTTAATAAAATGTTTTATTTAATAGTTAACAAACAAAAAATAAAAGAGCAAATTTTAAAAATGAATAGCAGATATTAACTTTGAATCAAATTCGCCCGTTTATTTTGAAATATATTATAGACATAATATTTAATTAAAACTTTTAAAGAGTGACTTTTAACTGTTTTAGAGTTAAAATTTTTTATACATATACTATATATACCATAATTATACATTAAAATATATATAAATATATAAAATTAAATTTTCTTATGCATGTTGCTTTATAATTTTTAATATTAATTAATATAATTTTTTTAAACTAAAAAAATTGTAGCCGCACACCGGCGCAACATTCTTTCATTTATTTAAACACAAAAATAAATAAATTTATTTATCTTACAAAATAACTTTTAGAATTGTTCAAGTCAAATATGAAGATAAGGAAAAATACAGGCTAATAAGAATACAGCGTGGTTAATATTATGCAAATAATATTCTACAAACTTTTAATGTTTTAATATAAAAAGAAGGTAATGACATTACCCATTTCGACTTTCTGTGGAATCATCATGGATTATATTGCTATTCTAAAATATTCCTGCTTAGTCCTGCAAGGATATATCTATATATCACTCGCAAAAATTGCCTAATCTGAAGTGACATTTATCTAATAGACAAATATACTAAATAATTTATGATATTATTTGACTCGGTTTGGAGTCAACGTATTATCTATCGTAACACATTTAATATATAAGATACGTTTCTTATAAATTAAAATTTGTGGACTTATATTTAATTACTGAAATTAATATGTATACCAAACTTCCATTACATGCACACTTTTCGGTCTCTTAGGAAAGTTGTTTCTAAGTTGTTTATAGATCTCTTAGGAAAGTTGTTTCTAATTCGGATTCGACAACATGTGAATGACTTATCCTTATTAGATTGAGAAGAAATATGTTAAAAATAGTATATCGTCGCCGAAAATAATTACAAAAAGAGTAAAAACGTTCAATTATCTTATATATAGAAACGTCATTATCTTCTTATATTAAGAGAATAAAAATTTTTATACTATTATTTGTATAGGGTAAACCCGGTATATACGCCGCGTCAGCAAATACGCCGCAGAAATCAGAAAAAATAGAAGGAGTGGGATATACTATTATTTAACCGCGCTGTTCTCTCATTAACCCCATGTTTTTTTATCAGTCTTAACTGTGATAGTTCATACTATATGTACAATTTAGATTTAAATATAAATCATATTTTGTTATAATAAGAAAAATATACAATAAATATTAATTATAATAAATAATGCTATACTTATAAAATTTTATCATCTGCAAAATTCTTGATGTATGTTTAAAATATTTTTATACACTGTCGCTAATGTTAACAGTACAAAAAGAAATTTTCACCATCTCGCATTTACAGAAATTATTTGAAATATAACCAGAAATCAATGTGTGTGTATGTGTAATATAAATTCTTAATAGTTGAATTAAAAATTTTTTTATATAATACTTCAAATTTTATGTGTGTTGCTTTCTATAACTTCATATACTTCAAAAGATAACAAATATTGTATACATATCTCACGTTCTTCTTTAAAAATAGATAAATTTTCCGTATTACTACACTGTGTTATTCTTATTTTTTGACGATTATGCACGTTTATCTGAGAATAATCTTATAAATTTGTGTCCAGTGTCCTCTCTTTTCGGCTATATTTCACGTTGATAGAATTTATACGTGATTAAAATTCTCTATTTCTTCTTATTATACAAAATTCATTTAGATAAACTGATTTTGAAAAAATACCAGATTTCAATGGATTTAATGCTTTAACACAATATATTTAAATTATGATACGTTACGTAATTAGAATTAGCAATCTCTTGCTTGCTCATCTCGCTGTCTACTAAATAAATACATAGTTCAGAACACTTATAGATGTATCGACCCCACTTGTATTGTTTATCCCCATCGTATTATCCTCATTTTATTAGCAATTACGTGCGTCTATCTCTGAGCATAATTTTATAAATTTTCTTGTACGTCGTACAATGAGTCAGGATTGGCAAGTAACGCGTGAGATTATTATTGTTACAATTATTCTTTATCAACAACGACTATAACTAACGAAGTTACTTTTTTTCATTTGTAACAATAATGGTAACGCAGTTACTTTTTGGATAATGACGAATATAATCGTTACTTTTATCATTACTTTTTGTACACGTACAATACATGTGCATGCATAAGTGAGTTTCGAAAGAAGAAAGTGTTATGTTTGACTAACTATAGTCATAACCATTATAAGCTTTCTACAATAAGTTATTACTTAAGTTTTAAGTCTTAAGTCGTAAGAAATTGACCAATCACAGTTATAAGAAGAAGAATCGATTATGATTGGTTACTTTCTTGCGGCTCAAGGCTTAAGCTTAAGTAATGGTTTATTGGTCTCGCACGGAATGCCAGAGATCCGGATTCGACTCTTGACCGAGATAATATTTTTCTCAATATATTATAAATTATTTATAGATTTTCAATATGTCATTTATAGATTTTAATAATAGATTTTAATTATATAGATTTTAATATGTCATTAAACATTATTAAAATCTAAGATGCTATAAGTATTAAAATTGTTAGATTATTAGTCAATTTAATTTGTGATAGTATTGTGATTGTTTATTAGAATTTGCGTTATTATAGTCTAAAAATCATTTCGGAGCGCATTTAAGAATCTACATACGTAGTATATAAATTCACACGAAAATGGTTTATATAATATATAATATATTAGAAGCATCCAAGATTCAGCTTGACTGTTACAGCATGTTCTCATCGATATTTGATTTTAAACTCTCACTATCCAATAAAATTTGATATTGTTAATGGTTTATTATAGAAAGCCCATTATATATTCCGTGTTAAATTGGTCAATTAGTGACCAAGACAAATGGATGCCATTCTAAAAAAAATTATAACGACTCATCATAAATGTCAACAGTCACAATTTCTTTGAAATAGAATCTCATTCTAAAAAATGAAAATTTAAGTTAGTTTTAAAAACGAATAGCTTAATTTTCAATTTTTAAGAATTAGATTTCATTCTTTAGAGTTATAATACTTTGAAGTTTTAGAGAGTACTTTTTGACAATAATGACAATAAATTAGTTTTATAAAGTAACTTTTCAAACCTTATTTAAAAAAAAAACATTTTTTTAATCAAATAGTAAACGTTGATTCTAAATGATATATTTGATAATATTTTGAAGTTAATTAAACTTCTCTCTGAATACGTGAGATCCTAGTTCGATCCCCAGCCAAATAGTCTTTGCAATAAGATTATTTACAGTACAGATTTTAAGTTGCTTAAAGATCATTATAAAAAAGCCTATTAGAACATTATTACTACTCTA